TGTAATAAACCCTTCATGTTTTCCTGTCACAGAAGGTACACTGTCTGTACACACTTATAAATTTATCAAATTCAGTCCAACTTCACAACATATATCTTGAAAGTTGTTGAATATATCTATCCCCTGTGTTCTGTTCACAAGAGTGCCCAAAGTGAGTAACTCTCATAGCAAAAGAAATCTTCTGTTATGACCCCAGTGAAGTATAAAACCTGTGCCAAGTCAGTAGTATCAGTTGATTCATCCAAAGCAATTGAATAATATATATTTTTCTGTTGAAGTATTACATGAAGTTGTTTTGTTAAGTTGAAGGCTAATGAATGCTGCCGATCAGTTTTGGTTCTCCTTGAAAGAGGCAGTTGTTTGTACTTTGAAATGTTATCAGAGTCTAAACGTTCTACAACTTTGACAATGAATTCTTTCACAATTTCTACATCATTGAATGACTTCCCTTTTTTCCAGAGTATATAATCTACTTTATAAGTTGCTTTTGTGGCATTATTTCCAGGTCTTATCACTGCTTGAAAGAATTGTCTTTGCTTTTTACTTTCATCTTTTAATTCCTGCAATACAACCTTTCATGCCTCTCCTTCTGATTTAAAATATTTGTGGTCCTTATAAGTGTTATAATACTAATGAGCTTTGAATTTCTTTAATGTTGATATTGCAGTATCACAAAGCAAGCAAATCATCTCATCTTTAGCAGAAACAAGATAATATTGCAATTCCCAATCCTCATTAAAAAATCTGTTTTCTTCCTATAGTGTTCTGTTGGTCTTCTTTGACATGATGGGCTGTTAAGCAGACTATTAAAAGATAGTGTTGAGCTGTGCAACTATTCACAAATTCCACTTCAAACAGAAACACAGTGCACTATTGTCAAAGGCTGATAACAAACTGGTGTACTCAACTTCCATAAACTCTCGCCAGCCAGCTTCGTGCAGTAGTGGCACCAGTCAGGTAGGGGAAATTAGACCTAAATCATGAGTGTAGCAGCCATCAATTTAGCCCTTATGGCTTACTAATGTTTTAATTGTGCTGGTCAATCTGGGAGGATTATTTCATTGAAACTTGTTTTATTCTTTGATATTTTAAATATATTCATTTTAAAAATAAAAATGTAAAAGACAAAAATGTATTAATAAAAATAAAAGGATTTATTCTGTAAAATTTGGCCTTTCAGTCAAAAGGCCACACTTAAGGACCTAGAAGGCCACATGTAGCTTTAAGACAACAGGTTTCCCACCCCTGGTCTGTCTAGTTGCTGCCCAGCAGTTGTCATGGGACCTTCCTTTACTGCCATCTTAGAAGTTCTTACTTGTGTTAGATTCACTGTTTACTGGATGCTACGTCTTCCTTTTTCTTGGTCTACTCCCTTGTTTTGGTGGAGCTCAAATTCTGATAACTTCTTTGGGAAAAGATACATGTTCTTTAGTTCTTATGTCTGAAAATAACTTATTCAACCATCATCATCATCATGCCTAATTGATCATTTGGCTACGCATAAAATTCTAGATTGAAAATTATTTTCACTCACAATTTTATAGGCAATTTTTCATTGTCTTCTAGTTTCTAATACTGCTATTCAGACACCATTTTAAAACCTTTTTATTCCTAGTAGTCTGAACTTTCCACAGTATTATGCTTTGGCTAGGTCTTTTCCTCATTCATTATACCAAACAATTCATGGGGTTTTTTTACTCTGGAAACTCAGTTCTGAGAAATTTCAATTGTTACTACATGGCTAATGATTTCCTCCCCATTTTCTTTGATCTCTCCTTTTGAAATTCCTATTAATCTGTTAAAGGGATGTAAGATTGATTTTCTGATATTTTTTCTTTTCTCTCATTGTCTATCTCCTTATGTTTTTGTTCTTCCTAGAAGAGATTCTCAACTTTACCTTTCAACCTTTCTACTCATTTTTTATGTTGACTGTCACATTTTAACACTTAAACTCCTTCTTATTCTCTATTTTTTTATAATATCTTTTTCTTCTATATCTTTGAAGATATTAACAACTTTGCATCTTCATCTTTCATTGTCTCTGTTTCCTTGGAGTTTTTTCAATTCATTTGGTACAGTTTTTCTCTTTAATGTGAGATGCTTTCCCTCCATGTTTGTCAGTCTCTAGCTTTCTATCCAAAATAAGAATAAGCTATTAAGCTGATTGAAGCTCTGTGATCATGGGTGAGACTTACTGACTGGTGGCCTTCACTGCAGGGCAATTAGTATCTTTGTGCCTTTGCTGAGAGTGTTAGTGTTTTTAAGAGAAGACCCTCCAGTCTCCTGACTGAAGGGTATGGGTATAAGACAATCTGCAAGTATTTTAGAGCTGGATAGATAAGTAAAGAGATTTCATCCAGAGTGTTCCCTCTATGTTTAGTTTTTTGTTTTGTTTTTTGACAGAGTCTCACTCTGTTACCTGGGCAAGAGTGCCATGGCATCAGCCTAGCTCACAGCAACCTCAAACTCCTGGGCTCAAGCGATCCTTCTGCCTCAGCCTCCCGAGTAGCTAGGACTACAGGCATGCGCCACCATGCCTGGCTAATTTTTTTTTTCTATATATTTTTAGTTGGCCAATTAATTTGTTTTTATTTTTAGTAGAGATGGGGTCTCGCTCTTGCTCAGGCTGGTTTTGCACTCCTGACCTTGAGTGATCTGCCTACCTTGGCCTCCCAGAGTGCTAGGATTACAGGCGTGAGCCACCGCACCCAGCCATCTATGTTTAGTTTTATGCTTCACTTTGTCTTTCTCTATGTCCAATGTCCCTGAATCACCAATTTCTCTGGCTTATGTTGTTCATTCTCTTGTTGAGGTGGGAAAGGGATAGCTGATTGCACTGAGGGGATATCATTCAGTAACCATTTTCCATCCCTACATCATCCCTGCCTCCTTGTTATCTCCTATTACTGAGTCTTTCAGGGTTCTATAGAGAAAATCTGCTTGCTTCTATTCTCTGAAGACTTTTAGGTTTGGCCTTCTTTCCCTCTGGGAAACTTTGCCTCCATCTGCTTTCTGTTTTCACATATGGTATCTTCTCATTTCAGTAGAGACGGAGTTTTTGTATCTCTTTCTTGTTGGATTGGAATAGTTTTGAGATATAAAGGGAGAAGACATGTCTTTACACTTCTGTCTTAAAATCAAGTCTAATAGTAGCTCTTGATGAGCATATATTCTGAATGCGGCTGAAAGAACAACTCTATACAAACAACTTTTGTCATGTGGGGTTTCCCAGCCAGTGAAACACCCATATAGACATAAAGATATATGCTTGAGGAGACATGGACCTAAGGAATGACTTCTTGGGCTCATGGTTATCTTAGATAGGTCCGTTCTGGGTATAGACTGATCTCAAGGCTCCAGAAATTTCCTGATTCGGCAGTTTGAGGAGGCCAGTAACACTGTTATTTTCCTTGCCTAGATTTGAAACTAATTAAAAGGAATCAGAAAGAGATTAAAATGTAAGTTTTAATACTAATTAACACTAGGTGGGTAGATGTGGGTTGGGTGTGTAGCAGTGGGCTTCCTGATGCAACACTGCACTCTTCCATCATCAAGCCACCACCCTAATTCCAACCCCAGCTCCTTTGGGTATTCTCCTGGGACTGCCAGTGGGCAGTTTCAAAATTGCCCTTCTCTTAAAAGTTCTGAAATGGGCACATTAATTAATTCAACTCCTAGACAACACTGAACCCAAAGCTGAAAATTTATTGCCTATTCTATTTCCCATCCCAGAATATTACTAGCTATCCCAGCCAATACAGCTCATCAGGCATTCTGCAGCAAGATTAAATAACAATATTAACATACTTCAATAATGTCACCTGCAAAGATTTGCTCAAAAAATTGAATATATATCCTCTCTCCTATAAATTTCCTGGGGAGAAATTGAAGTCTTAATAATAAATTCTTTCATAAGTTAAAAGTCTAAAGAAAGTTTATTATTTAAGTAATATCTATTTTCTTTGTCTGATTAGTCTCAGCCAGTCTTTGATGCCTGGCTGGAATCAAGATTCCTTCAGCAGCTTCAGCCCAGGTTGGCCATCCTTGTAATATATATGGTTCTTTCAGCACCTCAGAAGTTACATTATTAGTTCTATACATTAGTCCCTCGTGAGCTTCACTTTTTAAAGAAAGAATCCAAAGAGTTAATATGCAAGATTATCACAGCAATGGCTCCACACCATTTAAAAAATAACAGGCCCTAGAAGGGTTATTCCAGGCAAAATTATCTTCCCAGAGCCTGATGCTTACTGTTGCCAAAGACCACAGCAGATAATACGGGCATCAGAGTGAAGGAATGGAGAAAATCTTCATTTCAGTTCAACAAGACACTTATTTACCATCAAATTTTAATCTGAAGTTTGCTTGGTGAGCTCAGAATGAAGGAATCCACTTTAGATAAACATGATTCCAGTGTTTGATGTCATCAGGCTGCTACCATCTCTACGAAAAGCTGCATGTGTTAGATCAGATACTTGAGTCAGCCTGACAAGTTCCCTTCTTGTGGAAACATCTATTTTATTTGACTTGAATTGGTGGGTGGTTGGCAGGATCCTTTCTAATCCTGAGAGTCTGTGAGTTACCTTTCTCTCTGCAATTTAAGAAAGAATAGAATTGCCACTATTACTTTCATTTATACACTTAAGCTGTTTCAGAGCCTGGAGCCTTCTGAGACCTGATAGGGTAGAGTTGCTAAGCATGCAACAGCAGCCGTTTTGCCATCTGGCCTCTGTGATATCAGACAGCTTCCCAACGGGGGGAAGCTTGAGTCAGTATTTAGGTAGGTATAACTGCTTACAGTTCTGGTGTCATGGACTGTTGCTAAGAAATTCATTTCCTTGTGTCTCATTAAGAGAACCACTTAGGGCCAATATGAGATAAAGGCTATCTTGCTTATAACAATTTGGTTTTGGTCTTTCTTCAGAGAAAATAACATTCAACTTAGAGGGCTATATGAATGGGGACCGAGCACTGACCTGTCACTGACTTTTTTCCTGTAGGATTCCCAAGAAGTACCTTTGACAACTCTTGTGAACTTTGTGGACATTACCCAGAAGCCAGAGCCTCCAAGGGGCCAACCCAGAATGGACTGGAAATTGCCATTCGACTTCTTTTCCTTCAAAGTGGCATTCAGCAGAGCAATAGACTCTCAAAAAAGCTCAGTCCCTCCCATCCTTATCCTGTGCCTTTTACTACTTGGAGTTCTCAATCTAGAGACTAATTGAAGAAAAGAGAATAATCAGATTTCAGTTTTCCCTATGGGAAGCTCTGAGGCAGCCTACTTATCTTGGCTAAACAGATTCTCACCTGCTTATAACCAGAGGAAAGCATTTAGGATAATAGAAGATGCAACTGAAGGAATCTTTGTATATGAAAGAAGGTACTTTAGAAAAGCAACAAAAATATTTTACTCATCATAAGCTCTCTGCTTAGGGCTCTGCAGGCAACATGGTACAAATTAGGTTCTCTGTTTCTTAAGCCAGGAAGGCAAAGAGGTTTCCTCCAGCCCTTCTGGTTGTGTTATGCCTAACTTAAGGTTTACAAGATCTTCATCCATCTGCCCTAGGCACAGGTGGGCACAGGAGAAGGAGGAACATGCTGCCACTGTCCTCTGGATTTAAGAAGAACTAACTGTTTAGAACAGAAAACTTCTGGCTGTATATTATGTCTGGTTTCTTTGCCAAAGTCTGGCCACACCGTTTGCCCTGACATGAGTGAGGAAAGCAATTTTTTATACTCAGTTTCTAAAATAAATGTGGAATCCCAGCTCCCTTTTCTACCAGCCAATGACTCTGCCATTTATTTCTGCTCTCTCTTTCCTTCCATTGTGGTGATGAGAAACAAAACTGATTGAAATCTTTGTTGTACTAATTCCAGCAGCATGGCAGAGGTTCACTGACCTGTGATCTGCCTCCTGATTATTTTTCTATGTCTGTGAGGTTTAAAAAAAAAAAGATAGCATTTAATTTGGGGTTCTTATGTTCTTTCCCTGGGAGATAAACACTCTGAAGACCCCAATTTTGTAGCATTGACATTAGTAGTGAGTGCAGTATAAAATCTATTTTTTTTAGCATAGCACAGTGGCAGCTTACAAAGGGCCCTGCCTACCCAGCCAATTCAGAGATTCTGGCTGGCAGAGAAAACTGCTTAAAACAGTAATTTCCTATTACCATTCTTGAGTGGTGAGGAATTGATTGGGAATTATGCTAGAAAACTTGGAAAGCAAGGAAGCATAAAAGGGTTTAGGCCTGGAGCAGAATTATGCTAGCCTTATAATTAAGGCAAAATTTGGTGCAAGATATGTCAAATCTAATTGTTTTAAACTTTAAATCCCTTTTACAAAGAATTGAATGTAAAAGAATAGGATACAATAATAATAACTCCAGTGACACTCTTTGTAAAACGTGGAATTGTAAATTATAGCCTCTCAGTGACCCGACCATTTAGTCAGGAAAGATTGACATGTGACACAGGAGACATATTTGTTCAGAGAAGCAATTGATGTTGCCTAGATAGTAAGCAGCAAGTTTGGAGAAGGTGGTAGGATTGTAACTGATGTAGCAGCATGGGTGGCACTAGGAGAGTGGGCAGGAGGAGGAAGTGATCCCAGGAGCCTAGAACTCACAGGCTTTTGCCATAAGTCCCAGTAACTACTCCACACTCCCAGCCCTACTCCACAGAGGGCTATCAGGGGGAGAATCTCTCTCTGCCAGCACTCCAGCTTCTACTCCACACTGTGTGGGCTCGGCAATCTTTCTGGTGCCCATTTAGCAATTAATATTGTTCAAAGGGTGGATTTACATGCCTCTGTTTTACAGTACCAGGTAGGGGGAACATCCGTCAGTCATATACAGTATCCATGCTCATGTGGGAGTAAGGAGAAAACTTCTTTTCCCAGAAAGTTCACCGAAAGATCAACTCACAATTAAGGCAGATTAATAAGAGCAAGAGGTTTATTTACCGTGCCCATAGGGAGAATCACAGAGTGATTACCCAATGTCCTAATGGGATCCGGATATTTTTATACCCTTTTAACAGGGGAAGGGGAGATGAGGAATATAGGTAATTCTGTTTAGGGGCAATAAATGGTTACTAGAGAGGATGAAGGGATGGAGGAAACAGATTGACTTATAAATTATCCTGAGTGATAGGTATTTAATATTATGTTTAAAAGTATTTGGGCCAGGTCTGGTTGCATTCTTGATTTTGTTTCCTGCAATATAGTAAGATAACAGGGAAGGGGAGTCAATTGTTCGTTCTTTTGATAGGTCCCTCTGTTTAACCAGAGGGACCTTTAGAGGGAAAGCCCCTTCTAAGGGCCTGTTGATTCTAAGGGCCTTTAATTCAAAATACTCTTTATACCAAAGAGTCATATTCTGGGGTGAAATTTCCTGAGCTCCTTCACTCATAAAACGTTTAGGTAAAGAAGACAAATTACTTTGCATAAAGCGTGTTTAAACACTTCAACTTTTATAATCCTATCAACCCTTACATTTTTATGTTCTAGTCCCAGGAACTTCTCCACCCAAAGACCATTTTACCCTCTCTTGTGTGAAAGGCTTTGGGTCCCTAGCAGGGGATTGAGCCAAGGCAATCTGGCCCTTTTGCCAATATTTTTCTTGATTAACCTGCCTCAACATTGCCCCAAGCAATTGTTGGTCAGCTTTTTTTTTGTAATCTCTACCTCTAACTTATTGAATTTCTCTAAACTGGGGTATAAATACTGCAAACCTGTTTGGAACCTCTTAATGTTGGGGAACCAGCAGGGACTCCCTATGGTCCATGCAACTTTCCGTAGTGTTGTATTGAGACCTTCATTTTGACCCCATCAGTTTCCATTTTATTCATCCCATTTCTTAGTAACCGTCTAAAGATTTCCACCCCACTGGGATGAGTCCCATGCCTCTCCCCCCTTTTTCTTTCCTCTCAGTTTCACCCATATCAATGTTTTCTTTATTCACCCTATTTCTTATTTATTTATTTTTTTTAATTCTCTTATTTCTTAATAATGGTTTAAAATGTTTCACCTTTCTGGGGTGATCCTTTAGCTCTCCAAGGTACAGAACAGAGACAAGACAAGATCAATCATTCTTCCACCTACCCAGAGACACCTACATAATTGATTCTTTATTCACTCCCTTTTTCTTTCCAAACATTTACCTTATCTTATGTAAAATGTAGATTTCCTGGCCCTAAATAAAGTCTCACAAGAATGTCACCATTGGCTTCACTACTCACCCTCTTCCTCCTTTTTCTTTCTGTGTGTCTTCTCCCCTTAAATACTGAGTTCCCAAATCCCTCTTTGGAGAACACAGGCCACAGATGCTTCTGTGGTTTGTGCTTTTCCTGGGTGCATCCTCAAATTTTGGCTTAATAAACCTCAACTGATTGAGATCTTTGCCTCAGTCACTTATTTGGGGTTGCTGGGGGGAGTTGGGCAGTCCTCCTCCTCAGAGTAAACAGATCTTAGAGTCGTCTTTATCCAGTCCATCAGGCTGGCCATCCTCTCTGGAGTAACTTCCTGTGTGTCTGGATCATATATAGCCATCTGTGATTGTTCCATACTGAGCTGTGGGTCTGGCATCAACCCAAAAATGTTCTTCCACTCTGCAGCATTGAAAACCAAATATACTACTCCTAAATTAGTTACTCTCACAGTCCATTTTAGTAAAGCTTACTCAGGATGATACTAGTCTACAAAAATACACAATTCATTCAGGCTATACCCTCTGGTTTCAATAGTTACTTGCTTTTGCTCTTCCCCCATATTGACTGCCTTCTTGGTAACCATAGGTCTCAGAGGTACTTTAATTTTGCCCTTAGGGGTCGGCTTTGAGGGTAGTAGCTTAAGGTCAAACTCAATGAAATCTGAGCTTGGTGTAGCATCAAGATCTGACCCAGCACTCTCTTTTAACTTCATTTTTTTAGCTGTTACAGATAATCAAGGGATTATACATTTTACTTTTTTCTTATTGTTTGCATTTCCCTATACATGCAGTGAACCGACACCCCAGGAGTTAGAGCCATCTCTAGATTCTACTGGCAACTTTTACCTTTAGTAACTGAGCACAGCACAGCTATAGCTGCAAACCATGGGTGATCATGTGACCACCCGGGAATCAAAGGTTCCTCATCCCCCATTCATCCTTTCTCTTCCTGAACCACATGTTTCCATGAGGCAGGGCCATTCTAGCAATCCCCATTCCTGGTACCAACTGTGAGCAAAAAACTCAAACCATGTTTTTCTTCTGCTCTCACACAACAATAATCAACACAGAAGACTTCTGTGTCAAAATGTGTGGGAGTTTCTCCCTACACACCAAGCAAGTAATCGATTCTGCAGCAGACACCAGCTGGGTATCCTCCAACTCAATTCTGACCTGGAGATAGTGTCGGATCTCACAGGTTGAGGGCTCAGTCTCCAAGACTGCCTCCTTGTTTCCAATAATTGCAAGTCCAGGCGTCCAGAACTTCTGAACTTGACCAGCTTCACGTTGAGGTTCCATGACCCCCCTCTTTGGGTTTGATTAACTTACTACAGTGGCTCACAGAACTTAGGGAAACTTACTTACATTTACTGGTTTATTACAAATGGTATTTTAAAGGATACAAATAAACAGCCAAATGAAGAGATACACAGGGCAAGGTCCGGAAATATTCCAAGCACAGGACATTATGTTCCAGGACATTATGATCCTGTGGAGTTGGGATGCTGCCACACTCTTAGCATGTGGATGAGTTCATGTTCACCTTCTTATAAGCCTCCATGTGTTCTGGAAGCTCTCTACACCCTGTCCTTGATGCGGAAAATGTCGGGCACCGGGACACGGGAGGCTTGCCACCTCCCCATAGTTGCACATCTCTGTGGGCCAGCGCTGTGCATGGCCAATTGAAGGGCTCACTGCTGGGGCCCGCCCCGCAGCCCAGAGAGGCACCCTGGACCCCGCAGTGCTGCTGGGACCCCAGGCCCACATGCCGATGCCTGTTTCCAGCCACGCTGTTTGCATGATCCCAATTGGGTAATTTTTTAATCCCACTGTTTTAGATTGGATGTTAAAGCTTGTTGTTGATTGGATGTTAAAGCTTGTAGTTGATTGGACGCTTTTTGAGCCCTATCAAGGGTATAAAAGCAGGAGCAGAAGGGGCAAGAAGAGAGAAAATCGGAAGACACAGAGAGAGCTGTAACACTAGGTGTGCTGAGCCTGCTGTGGAAGAATAAAGGCTGTCCTCCAACTCTTCATTTGCAGCTAGGTTCTTTCCCCGGTCAAATGAATAAGAGCTGTAATGCTAGCTGTACACGTTGCCACAACATCCTCTTGGGCCTTTTATGGGGACTTCATGGGAGAGGCATGATTGAAGTACGGTTAACTTTGTCAAAATGTGAATGGACAAAAAAGGTATGACCTAAAACTAATAGACTGAATGGGGAAGCCAGCAAGGCCTATGTGTTCAGATTCTTCTTGGCTTCTTTATGCAGCATTCTTTTCTCCAGGGTAGGGGGCAGGACTCTCTATGGAATGAGAGTTTTATGACTCACAATCACATTACAGGCCAGCCTTGGGCAGATGAAAGGAGGGCAGGAGAAAGAGATAGAGATTCTGTTTTCTGAGGTCTGCTTCTGAGACCTACAGCACCCTAACATTATAGCAAAAGACTGTAACAAGAGCCATAGAAGTTATGAGCCAGGAATTGTGGATGAAAACATATATATATATGTATATATATATATATATTAGGTCATTAAATATGAAATGTCTGATTTCTAATCAAAAGTTTAGGGGT